ACCCTCGGCAGGAGCACCGCCGCACTCCCAAGCGGCGCACTGTAGCAGTGTGCCACCGGGCCGGCCCTCTACTCTAATTTTTAAAAATCATTATTACTTCTTTATCCTTTAGAAGTCCTTTTCATTTTCTTGACTCAAAGTATAGAAACTGGAATTTGATGCACCCCCAAATTTATGTTTTCTCCATCTTGAAATCTCACCCTACATTCAAATGCCTACTCCTTTTTAAAGATAAGGACTCTTTCCTTCCTTTCATTAACTACTTTCTTTACCGGAACACTAATAGTTTCTCGCCTTGGTTTACAGGGGAAAGGAGATATCCTTTTATTTTTTTTTCTGTATCCTAAAACTTCCCCAACTTTTATCTTTTAGTGCTCATGTGGTTTCATTGACTCTCTTTGGTTACCTGGTACTGAAGGTAGCTGTGCCTGTTCTGTTTCACTTGCCTCGGTCCATTCCCTCCTTGGTTCCTTGCTGTGGATTCTGTCTCCTTTGTGCTGAAACCATCTCCCCAAGTTGACCATGACTGTCTGTTGGCTGCAGCCAGTGGCCTTTGCTCTGCCTCATTGGGATGCAGTTGACCAGTCCTCTTTCTAAAACATGCTACTTCTACATTGCCCCCTAACTTGACCTTTAAGTTGCTGTAGTCCCTCGATTCTCCTCTCTGTGTTCTCTCCTCTCATTTACATGTGGTTGCTTTTTTGATTACTACCTCTTAACAAACACAGCTCTCTGGCCTTTTTATCCTCATGCTTCCCCTGCATGAATCTCAAACACATTCATGATTTTAACCATTCAAAAGTAAGGAGGGTACTTCCAAAAATTTGTGGAAAAATAGAATTAAAAGAAAATACAAATCTTTCCAAGAACTTTTTGAAGTGTGTGCTATCTCTGATTTTTTTTTTGTGAGCAACCAACCTGAGTTTTCAACAGTTTGCTGCATTTCCCTCAATATTCATTTAGCATCTTAAACCCAATATGTAGAAACCTAAATGGTCATATTCTCATGTAAGCAAAATCTTTCTGTTGATTATCATATTTAAAGAAATGGCATCACTATTGTTGAAGTCACATTATCTGTCTTGAATTCATCTGTGCCTTTTTGCTGCGTGTTCCCAAAATTTAGCAGATTAGAACAACAACCATTTTATTATATTTTACATTTTTGGGCTCAGGACTCAGGAATTTGGCCAGGGCTATATCAGGTGATTCTTTTGCACTCATGATACTTACTGAAGTCACTCAGTGGATTTCAGCATTATTCATGCATTCAGTGTCCTGGCAGGGATGTCTGGGAAGCTGGGCTCAGTGGGACCTGTCAACCAGAGCACCTAAAGGTGGTCTGTCTCGCACTGTAGTCTGAGGGTAGTCGCACTTCTCACCTGTTGTCTCAGTGTCCCAAAGAACATGCTCTGAGAAGCAGGAAGAAGAAACTGCCAGTGTTGTCGGGCCTGGGCTTAGACACTAGCACACCCTCCCTTCTGTGGTCTTCCCCTGAACAAAGCAGGCACAGAGCTGACCAGATTCAAGGAATCCCAGACCCACTGCTCGGTGGGAGGGATGTCAGAGTCTGTGGCCATCTCTAATTTGCCGTGCTTTCCTTTACCCACGTTTATTGTGTGTTGTGTTTGCCTGTTTCCTCACGTTGACACCACCAAAGTCACAGCTTCATTTATTTGTCTTCCAAACAGTTGCTGTGGCTTCATGTGAACTTATCCACTTCTGTACTCTGCCCATTTCCTATGTGCACTATTGTGAGAACAATTAATATTTCTTCTAATGTTAACATACTAGGTGTTTTATAACAGAACACCTGAGACTGGGTAATTTATAAAGAAGAGAGGTTTATTTTGCTTACAATTCTGGGACAGCTGCATCTGGCATGGGCCTCAGGCTGCTTCTGCTCATGGTGGAAAGTGGCAGGCAGCCGGTGGGTACAAGCAGATCACATGGCGAGAGGAAGCAAGAGAGAGAGAGAGAGAGGAGGTGCCAGGGTCTTTTAAACAACCAGCTCTCGTGGGAACTAATAGAGCGAGAACTCACTCATTAATCCCTCCTCCCACAGGGAGAGCATTAATCCATTCATGAGGGATCCGCCCCCATGACTCAAACAGCTCTCAACACTGCCACATTGGAGATCAGATTTCTACATGAGTTCTGGGGGGGACGACACAGCCAAATTCTATCACTGTGGTAGCTTATTACCTAAAAATAAAGACTTCACACCTTAGTACAGTTTGTCTTCCAAATCTTCACTCTGTGTACTCTCTGAGCTTTTCCTGCTATTCCCTTGCATATTTCCTGGGGTCAGATATGGCAAACCTTTCCCAAAACATGTCACATACACCTTTCTCTCGTGCCTGCAATGTGCCTTTTCATCTTCTTCCCTTAACTACCACAGCACTCTGGCTTCTTTTTAAGGGTTTCTAACAGCTTGGATGATAGTTATTTTACAGGCCTATCTTACTGTCAAGCTTTTTAATCTTTTAAATTGTTCACAATCTTTAAAGTTGCCCAGCTCCAAGCATAGTACTTTTATTTCCCCCAGTAGGTGCTCAATATGGATTTTATTTGTTTCACACTTTATCTCTAGTCAGAAAGTTTGCACCTGTAAATTCAAGGGGTTAAATTTACCAAATATGGACTAATTTTCAGAGTCAGGTAGCATAACATGAATCACGTTATTGGTAAAAGGCAATAGTTGTGGCCTTACTAAATAGGTCTTTTAGATGTTAAAAAGAGATGGACAGGGATTTGTAGGGTTTCCACATATAGATCTATGTTTGTGAATGCAGTGAGGACCAACTTCCGAGGGAAAACCAGTTGATAATCACAGCCGTGAATCTGTGTTCCTTAGGAGTGACTGTGATGACTCAATGGAGCTTAAGCTTAAGCTCAGCCATTTCTCATTTTATAATAAATGGGTTATCTCGTAAAATTATTGGGAGAAAGAGAGGTCTGTATTGAAATGTACATACTTACATAGAGTTTGAAATGTCACTTAGAAAAAGATGTGTTTGTCTACACTCTCTAAGCTCCTTTTTGTCTCCACAAAGTATAACCTTAAAGTTACTCAAGGGGCTTTACCAGAAGACCCTCCCACCGGAACACCTGAGCTCACTTTCATCAGTGGTTCTCTTTTGTATGTTTTAGGCGCCTTCCACACATGCAGAGAAGACGAGCTTCTGGTTAGAAGACGCACACCCGGAGTCTAAGGCCCCTTGCCCACCATGAGGGGAACCTGCGTCATCGCGTGGCTGTTCTCAAGCCTGGGGCTATGGAGACTCACCCACTCAGAGGCATGGGACGATTCTCAGTGCCAGAGAGCTGAGCACCCAGTCATCTCCTATAAAGGTAAGGAACAAGGTGCTCTGATTGCAAAGCCACCGTGTGAATGAGCATTCTATCCTTAGTGATAGCGGGTAATAGAGAAGCCATTGCTCCATTATTCTGTGATTCTTCTCTTAGATGTTGTTTAAAATAAAGGCAAAACCCAAAATTCTCCATCATCTGAATTTCATATCTAGAAACTGATAACTCCCTCAAGAAAGATCCAAGATAGAGGTTACCATGGGTAGAAAATCCCATTGTTGAGGCCACCTTTAGTTAACAGGTGCTGCAAGCGTCTTAGGTATTTGTGCCCGGGGCTAAAAATGTAACCTACAAAAATAATGATAAAACCGAGTAAAACAAAAAATTCTTCACNGCCCCCATGACTCAAACAGCTCTCAACACTGCCACATTGGAGATCAGATTTCTACATGAGTTCTGGGGGGGACGACACAGCCAAATTCTATCACTGTGGTAGCTTATTACCTAAAAATAAAGACCTCACACCTTAGTACAGTTTGTCTTCCAAATCTTCACTCTGTTTACTCTCTGAGCTTTTCCTGCTATTCCCTTGCATATTTCCTGGGGTCAGATATGGCAAACCTTTCCCAAAACATGTCACATACGCCTTTCTCTCGTGCCTGCAATGTGCCTTTTCATCTTCTTCCCTTGTGATAGAGATTTCCTTCCAGAAATCTCCACCTGTTGAAAGCCTCTTTATCCTTCAGCCTTAAACTCAGATATGCACTGCCCCTGGGCCCATCCGTGATCTTTTTAAGTAGCAGTCATCTTCTCCCTTAACTACCACAGCACTCTGGCTTCTTTTTAAGGGTTTCTAACAGCTTGGATGGTAGTTATTTTACAGGCCTGTCTTACTGTCAAGCTTTTTAATCTTTTAAATTGTTCACAATCTTTAAAGTTGCTCAGCTCCAAGCATAGTACTTTTATTTCCCCCAGTAGGTGCTCAATATAGATTTTATTTGTTTCACACTTTATCTCTAGTCAGAAAGTTTGCACCTGTAAATTCAAGGGGTTAAATTTACCAAATATGGACTATTTTTCAGAGTCAGGTAGCATAACATGAATCACGTTATTGGTAAAAGGCAATAGTTGTGGCCTTACTAAATAGGTCTTTTAGATGTTAAAAAGAGATGGACAGGGATTTGTAGGGTTTCCACATATAGATCTATGTTCGTGAATGCAGTGAGGACCAACTTCCGAGGGAAAACCAGTCGATAATCACAGCCGTGAATCTGTGTTCCTTAGGAGTGACTGTGATGACTCAGTGGAGCTTAAGCTCAGCCATTTCTCCTTTTATAATAAATGGGTTATCTCGTAAAATTATTGGGAGAAAGAGAGGTCTGTATTGAAACGTACATACTTACATAGAGTTTGAAATGTCACTTAGAAAAAGATGTGTTTGTCTACACTCTCTAAGCTCCTTTTTGTCTCCACAAAGTATAACCTTAAAGTTACTCAAGGGGCTTTACCAGAAGACCCTCCCACCGGAACACCTGAGCTCACTTTCATCAGTGGTTCTCTTTTGTATGTTTTAGGCGCCTTCCACACATGCAGAGAAGACGAGCTTCTGGTTAGAAGACGCACACCCGGAGTCTAAGGCCCCTTGCCCACCATGAGGGGAACCTGCGTCATCGCGTGGCTGTTCTCAAGCCTGGGGCTATGGAGACTCACCCACTCAGAGGCATGGGACGATTCTCAGTGCCAGAGAGCTGAGCACCCAGTCATCTCCTATAAAGGTAAGGAACAAGGTGCTCTGATTGCAAAGCCACCGTGTGAATGAGCATTCTATCCTTAGTGATAGCAGGTAATAGAGAAGCCATTGCTCCATTATTCTGTGATTCTTCTCTTAGATGTTGTTTAAAATAAAGGCAAAACCCAAAATTCTCCATCATGTGAATTTCATATCTAGAAACTGATAACTCCCTCAAGAAAGATCCAAGACAGAGGTTACCATGGGTAGAAAATCCCATTGTTGAGGCCACCTTTAGTTAACAGGTGCTGCAAGCGTCTTAGGTATTTGTGCCCAGGGCTAAAAATGTAACCTACAAAAATAATGATAAAACCGAGTAAAACAAAAAATTCTTCACTTTAGCATCTCCCAACAAAGCCTAGTCTTAGCACAAAACTTATCCCTTTTCTCTATGAAGAATTGGCTTAATGTCTCAAGTTTCTCCACAGATCTATAGGATTAATGGATTAATCTTGTTTATTCATCACAGTTTACTTAGGGTGTTTGAGGCATCCAGGGTGGAAAAAAATTAGTTTTTGTCTATCAATCTAAATATGATTTATCACACATTGTATTTTAGTAATTCATGCAACAGATAGCTTTATATTTTGTTATTTTTTTAAGCCTTGTGTCATGAAAAGTTCTTATAGAAAAATAGAAAGAATCGCCTAAGAAACACCCAGCCCCACATTTGTCAATCTGTGGCCCATCTTTTTTCCATTCTAATCCCCACCCACACTCCATTCCCTGCCCACCAAAATACTTTGAAGCAAATTCAAGCAATTATGTAATTTTATTGGTAATATTTCAGTTTATAACTCTAAAAGATATGGAATTCACAACACAGTGATCACACTGAAATGAAGAAACAAACAACCCCAAACAAAAAACAATTTTATAAAATTATCAACCATCCTGTATTGACAGATTGTTGATGGTCTCATGAATACCTGCGTATTTTTTTATTAACAATTGGATTCAATCAGTATCTAGATGAAGTTCATATACTATATTTGGTTCATATTTTTCTTGAGTCTCTTTTAATCTTTTCTGTTTATTTATTTATTTATTTTTGTTCCCCTTGCAAATTAATTTTTGAAGAGACTGAGTTTCCTGAAGTCCAGATTTTGCTGATTTCATTCTGTTTGTCTTGTTTAAATGTTCCTTTGTCCGAAATATCTCTGTAAACTTGTAGTAAGATCACGACACCTGATTAGATTCAGGTTTAAATATTTTGTGTTGCCTGTGTTCGGTGGTTCTGTGTACCTCCACGGGGTACCAGAGGATGTCTAGTTGTGAATTAGCAGTCATTAAGGATCAGTGTCTTGATCTACCAATTCATTCAGGGGTGTAAAACTGGGATTTTCCAATTTTATTATTGTTTCTTCATTTGATGGTCAGAATAATTCTATATGAAATAAGTTTCCCTCATCAACTATTTGAGTATCCTGAAGGTACAGCTCACATGGGAAAGGCAGAATAAATGCTCCCCCCACCCCTACTTCTGCCTACCAGTTTTTTTTTTCCTTTAAAAGACCAGCCTTTGGCTCACTTGGGAGAGTGTGGTGCAGATAAGACCAAAGCCATGGGTTTAGATCCCTATACAGGGATGGCCGGTTAGCTCACTTGGGAGAGCGTGGTGCTGCCGACACCAAGTCAAGAGTTAAGATCCCCTTACCAGTCATCTTTAAAAAAAAAGAAAAAAAAAAAAA